TATATATATATATATATATATATATATATATATATATATGTATATATATATATTTTTTTTTTTGACATTCTTTATTATTTCGTTTAGAAATGATGAGTGGAGGGGTCGTGGAGGGAAGCAACAAGATGTTAATATTTTCCCAGGTAGCAAAGTGACGTCTAAAGACGTCATTAAAACGTCATAGACGTCTTAATAACGTCTTAATGACGTCTTTAGACGTCACTTTGCTACCTGGGTTGATAATGTAGTAAACAATTATGTATAATATGTGAATATGTTTATATGTTTATATGTTTAATTAACAGCCACATTCGGCAAAAATCACATAATATATTGTCCATAAATAATCACAACAGATCTCACTTTATTATACTACATAATGTATCACCGCAATTCCGCTGATGTACTATTCCTTCTGCCCCATGAAGCGGTAAACGCGGCAGCGGAATTATGTTTTAGCCAATCGTAAAATAGTTGCATATTTTCGTAAAAAGTATTTTACTGAGAAACTAATTTTACTCTTTAATTTTACTAATTTATCATATATTATATTGTCACGTCTGACCGATCAGGCTGCCAGCCAGTGATAATTTTTTGTCCAAATAATCTACCTGAGATACTCCAGGTACGAAACTTTTCTTTCCCAAAAGGAAGGCATTACTACCATTCAGACCTCCGCCTAAAGGCGGGATCACAAAAGTTCAGTGGCAGTAGAGTAGTGACCGGCGTAGCAGTCAGTCAGAGTCGGGTGCCGGGATCGAAAGTCCAAAGATAGTCCTCACCTTCAAATCCCATTTCTCTAATTCACTAATTCTAAACCTTAGTTTCCTCTAATTCTTAAGCAATTAACTTTAGGTTATTTTTAACATTCTTAAACATTTACGAGCGTTTTATTCCAATGCATAATTCTTTAGTTTGTTAAACAGTTCATTTTAGTTATTTCGTCACTTCCGTTACTCTAGCTATACTTAAGATACTTTGTGAGCATGTTATATATCAAGAATTATACAATACACATTATATATATATATATATATATATATATATAACCTGTAGTAATTCTATTTCTAGTCCCTTCCATTCGAACATCCTTACACGGCACATTTCCTCTTACGCCTAAGCGAAACTGCGACGTGCGGTGTTCCTCCCTAGTGCCCATCGGTCAATTACAAGTGATTCGAATATTCGAACTCGCCGCCGCGCGATCCAGAACGAGGTTCCCCAGAGTCGGCAGCATCTAGAGGTTCAGGAGGTGCCGATCCATGTAAGCCACGAGAGCGCCATCCAGGGGTTCAGAAAGCAACCGCACGGTGGACGACCACTGGTAAGTCATTATCTACATTATTTCTATACGCGCGAAACTACGGGTGTTTACGATAAGTTGTCGGATTGGAAATCCGACTGAACAGTGGTATTCAATCGACCCATTTCAAAAAATTCCCTAGCTTGATCAGATTTAGTAAAAGCTATCTCAACAGTAATCGGATTAACTTCATAGCAACGTGAGGTGATACTTTGTTCCCAAGAGAAATAAAAAGATAAAAGTCGGTAGGTACGTAATTATTATTCTAATGATTAGCGCGTATCATTTTCCTTATATACCAATATATGAATAAATGATCTGTTACACTCTTGTCTAGGTATAGCTTTCGGAATGGAGCCGTGTCTGTTACACTTTTACTGATATTAAATTAATGAAAAGAAATATTAGTAATCTTACGTGTAGTAAACATTAACCTATAATAATATTGGATTTATGTTATAATTACGTATGTAACAAAATAAGAACAGTATAAAATCTGTCAAATTAACATTTCAAACATACTAATTTTAAAATATATTAAGGACATTTATGCATTTATATATAGATACATATAAATATGTGAGCTTGTATAAGTGTATGTTCATATGTATAATCTATAATTATTTACACACTTATATTTTTATATAAAAAGAATATTTATATTTTTATAGATTATATATATATATATATATATATATATATATATATATATATATATATACTATATACTATATACTATAAGTATATACTATATATACTATAATAACTATTAATACAGGTTCAGTCCTTGTTTAAGGAGAGTTTAAGAATCTCAAATAATTAATAAACTGAAATAATATGTTACATAATTCTTTAAATAAGGAAGATAAAATATTAATTCACTTTAAAATATTAATTCACTTTAAATATAATACATTATCCTTTATTGTTCGTGAGACGAACTCCTGGGCCCGATGCTCGATGATGTACGAATGAGATATGCATGCGAAAATCTACAGTATACGTAACGTGAACTATACATATTTCGCATTGAACTATATATATTTCGCATACGTATCTTATTCGCATACCGTCAAGAATCGAGCTCCTGATCTGCTTCTGTGTTCACGAGACTGCAAAAGCAGGAGCAAGAACAAACCATAGAATATTGCAGTTATAGATGGGAGATTATACTATTCTCTCGGATATCCAGATCTCACTCGCTCTACTCTCGTTATCGTAAGCACCCAAGTTCATATAAAAAGTTCCACGTTTCTACGCTTCGCCGAGTTTAGTGATCACGAGTTCACGTAAAACTTTTCACGTTTCCGCCCTAAAGAGAAAGTTACATGGAATTCTTTTCAATTGCAATATCCCTAGACACTTTTATGCACACGGCAACACAAGTTGCATTCCAATTGTCGTAATTGTCGACACAACACTACACATCCGTACTTAGCTCAAGAGCTACTAGTCAGCTGTTTAAACTAGTGTTTTCTAGTGAAAATTAAAGTTAATAAGCGTAGCGGTTTGAAAAGAGGCTGGCATTTGCGACGTGAAGTGGATAATATCTTTTTTATTATTTAGATTTTATTTATTATTAAAAAATACCAAAATATAAACATAGTTGAAAAATAATCCTAACTTTATTCGACATACATACACATTAGTACGCACTTTATTCCAATTGAATCGTGCACAACGTTACACTTTGTGCATTTTTGTCAAGTTCTATATATATGTGTCAAGATGTTTTAAGCAATTAATTAAACAAACAAAATAAATTAAATTATTTCAACACCGGCAATCATCCAACGTATAATTAGTCACTAACGTTATCTGAAAATGAGAATACAGATTGTAATTTTAAAAATCGTAGTTCTTTTGTAAGGGTGCTTTCCAATTGCATACACTATGTTACACATAACTAGTTTATTGGTTGCATATTATCTTACAAGATATTTTAGATAATATGTGACCAATAAACTAGTTTTGTTTACGTGTTGTCAAGATGTGTTAAGCAATTGGAAAGCACCCTAATGGCTCCTGCACACAGGACGCGGTAACGCTTGCCGCGCGGCGGAAATCCGCGCGATAGCTAATCAATATGTTGTTTTTCCGTAAGAGCTAGAAGGTTATTACGGTAAGCAGCATATTGATTGGCTGTCGCGCGAACTTCCGCCGCGCGGCAAGCATTACCGCGTCCTGTGTGCAGGAGCCATATGTCTATCAAATAATAATTCTTTGCGACTCCGATAATTACCGAGATGGGTTCTCTTATTCTTGTCTCTTCTCTCCAGATTATATAGGACCCACATTGCTTTTTGCAATATCTCGAAGACATATACTGATAGTGTTTCATATTTACTGAAAGCGTTTCTGAAACACACCAAGATAATAATTTAATCTTATTATTTAATCTTACACAATCAAGACATCTCAAATATTTTTAATAAGACTGATTAATTGAATAGAAATTCCCGGTCATACCTGAAGGAATATAGTCATGAGAAGGAATATAGAACTCACTGAAACACTCAGTAATCAGTTGTATTGCCGGATGCATCTTATGTTTATCTGTTAAAACAATTTGTGTTCCTGAAATATAAACTTTTAGTACCATTTCACTAGATTTATTATCACGAATTGTTTTAGCAACTTCGTAAAAATTGTTTGTAATTTTACTACAAAAGGAAAGATCTAGTAGTTGTAATTGAGGTGAGAATACAAGAATTTTGCATATCCCATTGTCTGTTATGTTTCTACATCCACTACACTCCAATCCTTTTAGGTTCTTTAGGTTTTTCAAACCATTATCGGTAATTCCAAGCACAAAACTAATGTTTAAATATTCTAATTTTGGTAATGCTGTAATAGTTTTTAGTGCAGCATCGTCACAAAAGTGGCCACCTGAAATCATCTCGGATGAGAAATCATACGTTTGAAATATTTAGAACACTCATGTAGGATTCACACTGCGTCCGATGTCCGACGAACGACGTCTAATATCCAATAGGAGAACTAATATAGAATTCAATTCTCCTACTAATATAGATTTCTAATATAGAATTCAATTCTCCATTGGAAAGCTATTTTTTATTGAATATCGAACGTCGGATGCGATGTAAATCCTGCATAAAAATGTAAAAAGTATACGGTATGATAATTTACCAGAAATATCTAGAGAAGTAATCTGTTGACAATTCATTGCTATCTCAGTGAAATGTTTGCGAAAAAATGGAAAGTATGCCAATTTTAGTGTTTGCAAGTTAATAAGATTAGTAAAGTGTAACGCAGCCGCTTCTTGTAGAAACATTTGGTGTTTGTAAATTCGTAATATTTTTAGCTTTTTGCAATTGCTGATAATTTCCATAGTTTTTTTACCAATTCTAGAACAACTTATTTCAAGATGTTCTAAATTTTCGAGCTTTGCCAATCCCTATATTGAAATATAATTAACGTTATGTACATATTTATATCAATATTTATATCAATATTTATATCAAGTGTTACAAAAAGAAGAATTAAAAAGAAAGACTTACCATGGCAAATGTAATATCATCAATGTTCCAGCAACATCTTACTATAAGAGTGCTCATTGTCTGGGCTGGCAAGTATGATAAACACTTACCCACAAAGGTATTATTAAAAAATATTTTCAAATAGTTGAGCTGTGGATATTCTTGGAAAAATGTTTTTTGCTCATCTAAGTTATAAAACGTTCCCAAAGTAAGCCTAGTTATTTTTTTACATCTGCCCTTAAATAATTGTTTGTCCTCTTCATCAATTGTTATTACAGAAACATTAATATTAGTAAGATTGGAACAATATTTCATGACTATTTTGAATAGTTCTTTGTTAAACTTGTCTGTTAATTCTTGTTTCTGAATTATATTGCAATTAGGTAGACTCATTGTTGCTGGATGGGCTATATATAATTCTGTTATTAATCTGCCATATCTTGATAACATTTCCTCCATTTTGTTCAATATAAATTCAATGATTCCATGATGTGTTGGAAAACAGGTGTTGGAAAACATACCTTGTAACAGGTATGAGGTATCTATCTTCTTCATTGTATACCAAGAATCTTTACTTAATACTCTCCAACGTTTGCACACTACAAAAATAGTAAAGGTGCTTATCAATTGCTTAACACATCTTGACATACATGTACATAAAACCAGTTTATTGGTCACATATTATCTAAAATATCTTGTAAGATAATTTGCAATCAATAAACTGGTTTTGTATAACACAGTGTACACAAAATACTCTAAGTAATGATGCAAATATATCATAATCATATATATATATATATATATATATATATATATATATATATATATATAT